TTGTCTAGTTGTTTTAGTTGTTTTAGTTGTTAGAGTCATTGTTTAGTTTAGTTGTGAGTTTTTATTCTAGCGGTTGCTAGCCGGGATTCTAGGCGGTCTTCTGACATGTCCTCCCACTTTTTCAGTCGTTGGCTGCTTGTATTCGCACATTTGTGCGCTTTTGATTTATAATAATACCTATAGTTTTGAAAAAAAAGTGGAAGCTTAACTACAAATACAAACTACAAAGTCATCAAAATACATCTAGTCCAACATCCAGCGAAGGAAAAAAGAAATAGGTTAGTAGTTCAAATCATTACAAAACAACACAATTCACCGACTATAACAAATCATTACAATTTCCACTAACTCCTCTAACTATAACATCAACATAACCAGAAAGATCTCTACAAGACTCATTTCCATCATCTCCACCGTCATCATAATTCAAATCAGATGCATCGGTCGTATTCATGTCCATATCAACTTTAGTGCGATCTACTTAAATGCCAAAAGGAAAAAAAAATAGATTATAGATGAAGTATTCAAAGTAAATAAACCAAATCAATATATTTTTTGTAAGAGTACCACTTACCAACAATAAGAATAGCTTATTTATTATAAATTAAGTTTTCAACTTAATCCTCATCAAATTCTGGATGTGATCGTCGTAACCACCTAAAAATAAAGCTTGTCGATACTTTCATAATCAATTAGATCATAAGATTTTTTTCTTTTGTTGCATCCTATAATATAGAAATTATAAATTGTCTAGAGAAGTTTAAAATGTAACAAATGTCATCAAAAGAAACATTGCACATATTAATTAACATTATTAACTTGTCTATCTTTCAAGCGCAAGTTGTAAGTGATATAAACATGATCACAAGCCTTTGATGCAGTCTATTCCTTCTTTTGGTATGAATCATATCAAATTAATTCCGGTTTCGTTGATGATGAGGAAGTTTGACTCAATATGAGGACGACAACATTTTGTTTAATATGGGAGCACTCCTACCAAACAACCTCCACCATTCATCTGCAATAATAAAATGAGAACAAAATTGATTAAAAATAAATGAATTACACAATACGTACGTCAAAATAATTATGCAACAATAAATAATTTTACCTGGTGTAAGTGATTTTGCAGCCGCTAATCATGCCTTTGAGCTCTGTATATATAAGTATCTCTTTCAATGCTTTAATTGTAATATGCTCTTGATATCCAATGTATCAAGCAATCCATTAAACACTATGTTTCTCAATGATTTTTTCATCATAAATAAAACATGATTGACAAAATAAGCTGCAACGTGGATACTACGATAGAAGTGTTCATCCCATCAAGTTTAATAATTTCAGTGTAAAATAAGTTGCAACATGGATACTGATGTGGCGACGTACGTTGACGGTTCAATGTGACGCCTAAAGGATGACTGTTTTCTTGTCGTGCACTTGGATTCTGGGCGGCTATACGAAGTTTTGGGCGATTGATGATGGTTATGCTGGCTTGGTTTTGGCCATAAACCGACAACTAAAGGACGATCATATTGGCGAGCCAAGCTAAAAAATAATAAGTTGTCGTCGTCGGGGCTGGTGCTGGTTGTTCTCGGCTATTGGGAGACGGTTTATTACGGTTGGACGTCGCGATGAGGCGCTAACTGGAGTTGTAGATGGACGATAAAAAACAGACTGAATGAAAGAGATATCTCTGCAATTTTGCGTGGACCGTCGGCCAGACTAGAGCAGATGTTGAAGGCAACGACTAGTCGCACTCCTTGTCGGAGAAGACAATCTAATTTTTTAGTAGTTGCAATAATTTTTTCGAACGATGGTTTAGGTTTTCCTTTCTGAATTTTGCATATGAAGAAGAAAAAGACGTGCATGAATTATTGACTAACTTTTTTTTTTTTTTTTGGATGTGAGCACATGTGAAAATGCTAATATAATATAATAATTTCTGGTTGGACTCAATCAGGTTGGTTGCAGGCTTTCAGTGGCTGATCTGAGCGGGCTCGACTATGGCAGGTTGCACGAGAATTTTCGGCTGGAAGGGTGGTGCTCAGCAATGGCCGGATTGTAGGTCGTCGACGGAAAGGCTAGTTGTAGAAAACGATCGACATGGACGACTGGTTGTGGCTGAACAAGCAGAATAAGGATTGTCGGAAGAACGAGGATGATGATCGTAATTTTGGACCTACCAATATTGATCAAACGGTGCTTTGCAGAAGGAGAACGCTAGACTGATTGTTGTGCTAGTGTTGAAGGGCTTCCAACAAAATTTCAGGTGGACGAACGACTGGATAATTTCTTCAGTTGTATGTTTTTCGGCTAGACTGTTTTTCCAAACAAGATTGATCAGTTACGGGTGACATTTCTGACAAGGAAGTTGCGTATTTTTTTATTTATTTTTTTTGCGAAATTTTGGCCATGAGAATTTACGCACGTGTAACGTGTGAAAGGTCCTCGACTGATGGAAAAGTCTATTCTGATATGTACTGGATTGTCAGTTTTTTTTTTTTTTTTTCTTGAATCGTTATTTAATGGCCCCAATAGTTGAATTATTTATTTACTTATTTACATGTTTATTGCTACAACTTTATTTAATGTTCATCATATTTAGTTATGAAATGTGCATATTATTTTTTTCGAAACGATAAAAGATTTATATTAATAAAATCGCACAAAGTGCAAAGGGAAAACAACCAAAAGTTGAATAGTACAACCAGATGCCAAAAAAACTAGACGGCAGATCCGAAGATCCCCTATAACCGGCTAGCAACGCTAGAATGACAAACTCACAGCTACACGATAGCAACTAACACAAACAAAAACTAAAACAACTAGAGAAGGCATATTATTTATTTGATATGCATAATATTTATTTATGAGATGTGCACATTAATTGTTTTACTATTCACGATAGATAATTAATTGTTTATTTTCATAAGAATTAATTATGTTAAGTATTTTATTTATTTATTTGCATGTTAATTCATCATGGCAAATGTATATTAGAAAATTAATAATGAGATGTTTTAAATATAAATAATTATGTTTAAAATAATGAGATGTTTCAAAATAAATAATTATATTTAAAATAAAGTTTTAAAAAACAAGTCCAGTATGTGGATCACACGAAATGTGCACTAGTTTTACACGAGGGATTTAAATTTAAAGCTCCCAGTTAGTCCTGGAATATACCCGGGCAGATCTTCGGGTCACCGATTCAACCGCCGGGTCACCAGGTCAACTGTTGAATCGGATAATTAGTTTTAATTTTTTAAATTATATATAGAATATTTTGTATATAAATATACATAACAGTAACAAAATCAAATATTTTATATATAAAATTTGTACACTAAAGTGTTACTAACATATATTTCATAATAAATATTTATCATATTAATATATAGGATGAGATTCAAATTAGAACTCATCCCTAATGTGAGAACTAGGAACCCATCCTATCATTTGATTACATAATTATCAATGGCTTGATTGCTTAACACATTTGTTAGAAAATACCATGATTTATTATGTATGTCTATTATTGTCAAATGCATTGTTATTAATTATGGTAATGCCGAATTTTAGGGAAATGATTTGACTTTTTTTTTTTTATTTAAATGTTACGAACTACTCAACTTCCTTTTATACCACAATCATCTACGCCTTTATTTGTTCAAGCATGTAACCAACATATAAGTTCCATATTTTCTATTATCTCCATTTAAAAGAAATTCACTTTACTATTTCTCTACTGTTTGTGTACGGCTTTTTTTTTTTTTT